GGCTGGAGAAGGGGAGAGAATTTGGAACTCAAAATTTTAAAAATTAAATGTTAGAAAAAATTTACATGTAATTGGGAAATATTTAATGAAAAATATATAGATTTTTTTAAAAGAATCATTGTGCTATCTGAATACTATGACCAAAAAAAAAAAGCCCTAGATATTCTATTTCAATAAATCTTTAAAGAAAACGGATGAAATCTCTTAGAACCAGAGGGCAAAGTGAACATAGAGAGAATATCACCAGGCACCTCCTAAAAGAATGAAATGAAAACTCCCAGGAATATCACACCCAAAATCCAGAGCTTCCAGGTCAAAGAAATAATACTATGACAGCCCAGAAAAAAAGAATTCAAGTACCAAGGAGCCACAGTAATAATTTCAGATAATTTAGCAGCCACCACTGTAAAGAACAGAAGAGCTTAGAATACAACATTCCAAAAGGCAAAGGGAATAGGTTTACAGAAATGAAAAACTTACCCAGCAAAACTGAGTATATTAATGCTTCAGGGGATAAAACAGACCTTTAATGAACAGAGAACTTCCAAATACTCCTGATGAAAATATCAGAGCTGTATAGGAAAACTGAAGTTCAAACACAGGAATGAAGAGAAATGTAAAAAAGGTAAATACAAAAGAACAATGATAACAATGAATAAGAAACTAAATAAGGATAAACTGCTTACATTCAAACACAGGTAGATGATACATGTGTCCCATCTGAACTCTATCATCATCAGGGGTCATAGAGGAAATCTATACCAGCCAAGGCCCGAGAGTAGTTGTTATATCTTGATGAGCTTAAGAGATCTACAGAAAGAGAATAAGGGCAACTAGGTGGTGCAGTGGATAGAATGCTGGTCCTGGAATCAGGAAGACTCATCTTACTGAGTTCAAATCTGGCCTCAGACAATTACTAGCTGTGTGACCTTGGGCAAGTCACTTAACCTTGCTTCTCTCAGTTTCTTCACTGGTAAAATAAGCTGCAGAAGGCAAACCACTGAAGTATCTTTGTCATGAAAACCACAAACGGGGTCATGAAGAGTTGGATATGATTGAAAAATGACTAAACAAGAGAATAGAAGAGAAATGGACTGGGAATGGGGAAAATGGAAAGAAAGTTAGGGAAAATTATGTGACATAATTATTGTGCAGAAATAGCTGACCCTATGGACTATAGCATGCCAATACTGTCCACAGGGTTTTCCTGGCAAAAATACTGGAGTGTACAGTGCATAGGGCACTAGCCCTGAAGTCAGGAGAACCCGAGTTCAAATCCAGCCTTAGACACTTGACCCTTACTAGCTGCGTGACCCTGTCACTTAAGCCCAATTGCCTCACCAAAAAGCAAAAAAAACCCCAACAACGACAACAAAAAAAACCCCAAAAAAACCTGGAGTGGTCTGCAACTTCCTTCTCAGGTGGATTAAGGCAAATAAATAGAGGTTAAGCAACTTGCTCAGGGTTACCTAGCTAGTGAGTGTCTGAGGCAGGATTTGAATTCAGGTTTTTCTAACCAGGTCTAGTGTAATTAGCCACCTAAATGCCTCTGTGCAGAAGTAGACAATTAAACAAACATGGAGACAAGGTGGGAGGGAGTAGCTGACACTGCAACTAAACTGGTAAAAAGAAAGCGTGTGTGCGCGCACACACACACACACACACACACACACACACACACACACACCCTTCCTCAGGACAGAGAAATAAATTTTACTCAATAGAAAAATAGGAGGGAAAGGGGAGAAAGGGAATTAGAGAGAAAGAAGATCAAGGGATGGATCAGTCCTAAGCAAAACAAATTCAAAGGACATATAAAAATAATTATAACTCTTTCTGAGGTGGCAAAGAATGGGAATCTGAGAGGATTAGGGAATGGCTAAACAAGTTGATATAGAAAATGTGATGGAATATTATAGTGCTATAAGAAATGATGAGGGGGACAGGTTTCAAAGAAAACTGGCAAAGACTTATATGAACTGATAGAGAATGAAGTGAACACCACCAGCGAGAAAAACTCATACAATGACAACAATATGAGGACAAAAAACTTTGAAAGAATTAGGAATTCTGATCAGTATAATGACCAACAATGATTCTAAAGAACTAATGACGAATCTTGCTATGTATCTCCTGATTAAAGAGGTGAAGGACTCAATATATAGAATGAGACATGTATTTCTTTGGATATGGACAAAGCAGAAATTTGCTTTGACTATACATGTTTGTAAAAAAGGTTTTGTTTTCCTTTTCTTTCGGAGGGGAGAACTAAAGGAGGAAGGGAAGAATTTTTGCTGATTAAAAAAATAACTTTAAAATAATCTAAAAGCTAATAAGATAACATAATATAGTATTATAATAAATAATAATATAAGCTACAAATGACCTTTTAAAATACTACAGATTGCTCTTCTTCCTAGCGCCATCTTGTTGACTTCCATTGCGCCATGAGAGCCAAGTGGAGGAAGAAGCAAATGTGTAGGCTGAAATGCAAGAGGAGAAAGATGAGGCAGAGGTGCAAGTAACCAGACTGCTGACCACGGAAGCCACAGGAGCAGAGATGGAATGACCGTTGGTGACATTCTCAGGAAGGCAGAAACCTTTGGGAGACATCACCCCACCCTACGAAGGACTCTACTAGATCTACCACCATCTGATGAGGACTCTTACCACCATCTGAAGACCTCCCTGACAAAAGGACATGCCATCATTTAATGCAAATTTCATCTATCTGCCTCTTGACTTTGTGCCATGGGATGTTTGTCATTCCAGACTGATTATTTTCTTTGTGGCTTAAGTGTAGCACGCCTGTATAATAAATCCTCACTACTTTCTTGTTTGAAAAATAAATAAATAAAATAAAATAAAATACTACAGATTACATATAAGAGAAATTAGCACAAAAACTCTTAATTGGAAAAGATAACATCTTAACAGATTGGCAAATATCACAAAATATCACAATTATAAGAGGTTAAGTGGGGACAGCTACACTGGCATACTATTGCTAAAACTTTGAATTAGTTCAACCCACAGATTAGTATACTGCTAGGCACAGAGTAGACACTTAACAAATGCATACTCATTGATATACGGACAGGCAGAAAGAAGGTTGGAGGGAGAGGGGTGTTTAGCCTGGAAATGAGAAAGTTCAGGGGGAACATAACTGCAGTCTTCAGGTATGTGAAGGACTGTGATATTAAAGAGGAGTTAAACTTGTTCTGTTTGGACCCAAAGTACAGAACAGTAAGGGGTAAAAACTGCAAGATGCAAATTTAGACTTGATATCAAGAAAAAGTTCCTACAATCAGAGCTATGCACAAGTAGAATGGGAAGTATTGGTGGAGAGGGTGTATGTGAAGGAGAGGTGCATAGAGTAGTGCGTTGCCTCTCCAGACATCTTCAAGCAAAGCATGTATGACCACTTATTGATATATGATAGTGGGACTCCTTTTTTTCAGGTACTAGCTGGATCAGATTTATATTAAAGACCTTATCCAATTCCAAAATTCTATGATTCTGTGACATGACTGATATCACTAAGTATCTGAAAAGCCACAGTGCTGAGAAAGGAGTATGACTTGTTTTATTTGGCTCTGGAGGGCAGAAATAGGAGACAATATTGAAAGTTGTAAAGAGGCAACATTTAGAATGGATGTAAAGAAAACTGCCCAACAATTAAAGCTGTCTAAAATTGGAATGACCTGCCCTGGCTTCCTCTTGGCCTCAGTCCTAGGAGGGCTTTAAGAAAAGGGCACATGTTCACTTTGGGAGGATGTTTCAGTGGACATTCTTTCTTGAACATACTTTGAAACTCTGTGATTCTATGATCTCAGGGAACAAAATCCAATTGTGAAGACACAATGAGAAACAATTCTTAGGATTAAAGGAGGGGGTTATATGGAGAGTTCAATGAAGAGACAGAGGTAACTTACCAAACAACTTTGATTTTAAAAGACATACAAACGATGGAAGCAAGGGCATGTAACAGAGAATGAATACAAAAGCGATAATGCTCAGAATGAGTTGAGGCTCTCAAAGAAAGGAAAGAAGAACAAAAAGAAGGTTTTAAAGTTGTGATGGGGTAAAGACGAGGATCAGAGAAAGATAGCTCTGCTGTTTAGGACTTAAAGAGTAATTATAGGGGCAGCTAGGTAGCGCAATGGATGGAGCAACGGCCCTGAAGTCAGGAGGACCTGAGTTCAACTCTGACCTCAGACCAAACACTTGACACTTACTAGCTGTGTGACCCTCAGCAAGTCACTTAACCCCAACTGCCTTAAAAAAAAAAGTAATTAACATGGATGATGGAGAAAACGTGGAGTTTCTCAATCTCTTATTTTGTTTCTGTATTTTCTGCTAAAGAGAATGCTTTGTAAGCTAAAAGAATGAAACAAAAATGGCTAAAAGGGAGTTGATAATCAAGCCAGGAAGGAAACAGTACCAGAGCAACTACCTGCCCTTATAAGTTCAAGTCACCAGGCATAGTCAAACTATCCACTCATGGTACTGAAAGAACTGGTGGATCTTCCTGCTGAGGGAAGAACGGATGACAAAAGAAATAACAGCAAGACCATTTGGAATTGTTTTGTTATCTGTAACCTCAATTACCTTACAGCATCAGATAATAAGGCATAACTTTAACTTCTTAAGCAAATGGTGGGTCTAGCTAGAGTCTAAAACCTCAAGTATGAATATTTTTAAAGAGTTTTTAATGAAGCAGAAAAGGAGGTTTTTTTTTAAATTAAGAAAATATATAAATGAAAAATAACAAAATGTACCTGGGAAAAATAAATATTATAACTATATATTTGAAGCACATATGTGACCTTTTACTTCATGAAGTATATTTTTAAAGAATTGAAGAAAAAAAACATTAAAAACCAAAGCATTTCAAAGAATAATCCATAAACTGAGTTCAATAGCTAAAAATCAGTGAATATTTCAAATATCAATCAAAGGGTAGGCTCTCAAAATTAGAAAGAACAAGATATATTTACCTGTCGAAAGATCTCTGTGACAAAATTAACATGGCTTCTTTTAGAAGAAAAGACTTTTCGTACTATTTCAATGTCTGTGAGATGCTCTTCATCAATACTACAGAGACTAGATGAACTTGGTTCTCTCTCTGTAAGGGTACTTGTATTAGAATGGGACTGTTCTGGCTCTGTAGTTCTTTCTGCTCTATCAGAACTGTCATTTTTGTTTTCTTCTCTAGAAGCCAAACCAGCAGCTGCCCTCTAAAATTAAAAAAAAAAAAGCACATTTGTTAATTTAGTTCAATAGACATTTTTAAAAAAAAAAACAACTGTGGGTAACTCTCCTTTGCCTGGTACAGGGAATATAAGAGTTCTTGCCCTCAAGAAACTAATACTCTTCTAGAGGAAACATGTAAGTTTACTCATCTGAGTAAAACATAATTTAAAGGAGGGAGAATGAACAAACTAGAGGGATGACGAAAAACTTCATGAAATAAGAAACACCTGATACACCATTAGTGGAGTAGTGAACTGGTCCAATCATTCTGGAGAACAATTTGGAACTATGCCCAAAGGGCTATAAAATTGTGCATACCCCTTGACCCAGCAATACCACAATTAGGTTTGTATTCCAAAGAGATCAAAGAAAAATGAAAAGGACCTCTACGTACAAAAATATTTGTAGTAGATTTTTCTGTGGTGGCAAAGCATTGGAAAATGAGGGAATGGCAGAACAAGTTGTGGTATATGATTGTGATGGAATATATTGTGCTATAAGAAATGAAGAGGAGGATGGCTTCAGAAAAATCTGGGAAGACTTATATGAACTCATGAAAAGTGAAGTGAGCAGAACCAGAAGAACACTGTACTCAGTAACAGCAATACTGTAAGAATGATCAATTGTGAAAGATTTAGTTACTCTAATCAATACAACGATCCATGACAATTGCAAAGAATTCATGATGGAAAAAGGCTATCAAAACTTCAAGAGAGGTCAAGAAGATCAGGGACTGAGGAAAAGGTCATTTGATTCATCTTTGTAAACTTGGAAAGAACAGTTTCAATGAAATTGTAGCTAGGCTGAGAAGCCTGTGAGGAGTTCAGAGGTAAGCTGGTGCAAAAGTAGAGGCAACAAGTATGGATGGACTATCTTCTAGGAGTCTGGATAAGAAAGGGAAACATTTAGCTGAAAAAAGGATTTCTATCTCTACTTCTGTAGGAGAAGGAACCAGAGGGAAAAATTGAAGACAAATAAGAAGGAAAGTATGTTAGTAATTTGGAAACATATTTGAATCAGTGAAGTAGGTCGGAATTTGAGTGTGAGGAGAAATCTGAAGAATAATCTTCAGACCTAGAAACAGATTGGTTTCTACAACTGGGTTAAAAGAGAAGCAGGATCATTGACAATTAAAGAGGATATAAAAGGATTAAGGAAGATAACTAAAGATTAGGGAGTATAATCTGAATAAACAGACTCAAGAAGGAGGAGAAAGTAATTAGCAAGACAAGACAATGTAAGTGGAACAACATGAGGGTGAAGGGAACTGGAAGATGAGGCAAACTGGTGAAAGGTATGGGAGAATGATGCAAGGATGAAAGAACGATAGGTAATGTGTGGCTGTGGATTTGTGGAGAAAACAGAAAAGGATCTGAATGGGATAATTAATTTGCTTCATCCTAAAATTGTTCTTTGTCTTGTCTTGCCAGTTACCTTCTTCTTATCCTTCTTCATCAGGTCATAATTTTCCATTATCCTCCTTAATCCTTTTATATCCTCTTTGTCAGTGAACCTGATTCTCTTTAACTAAGATGAAAAAACTAGATGAAGAATATCAAAGTTGATCTTGGAGGAGAACGTGAAAAGACTCTTGGACAAGAAAGTGAACACCATAGGCCAGGGTTGTGTTTTCCTCACAGCTGCCCAGGGAAGGCAAAAGATGAAGAAAAAAAAAATAACAATTAAGCAGGGAAGTGAATAGCAGGCTAAGAAGGTGGTATCTAAGAATGAGATCTAGATTTCTGGTTCACAGCATACCACAAAGAATTGACAGATGCCTGACCAGAGATGAAATATACCTAAGGATGATAAAACAGGTGTCTTGAAAATCCAATCAAAATGGCTTTTAATCTAAAAAAGGGAGAAAGAGAAAAATTGCATACACACACACACACACTTTATATTTATCCCAAGTTAGATGCCATAGGGACTAGCAACAAAGAATGAAAGAGAATAGTAGCTGACACCCATAAATTCACAGGACACAAAATCCAAGAAAGAAGACAACACTAAAACCCATGGCCAAAAACGTGACCAAAGTTTAGGCAATAAAAAAGATAAATCTCAGGTACTACTATAAATAGAACAAATCTGACCTCATGTATCACTGAAATTTGGTGAAATGAAACTAAAAAAGAGACTATGGATTTAGGTGGGTATCCTTATTCAAAATAAAAACAGGTAAAAAGAGGGAAAGAGTAGTACTGCACAGTCAGAAGTTATACTCATGTGAAGAAATTCAGGAACCAGATGGAAGAATACAATGGAGAATATTTGGGTGAAGACAAAAGGAGGGATAAATAGAGATGATTTTGTCTTTGAAGTTTACTATAGACTACATGAACAGAAAGAAGTAATAGATGAGGCACGTAAGAAACATCAGCAGGTGAGGACAGAAGTATGATATGGTACGGGGCTTTAATTCTTCAGATATCTGCTGGAGCTGTTGATCTGCCAAAAACCAGCTTTTTAACTTGCTTTAATAGTACTTCTTCCTTCAAAAGGTTGAGGAGACAAGGGAAAATTCAATTCATTTTAACCTTCCCACAAGGAGAAACTAGTTATTTTGGTAGAAACGATTAAAACTTGGGGGTTCAGTGACTACTCCATCCTACAGACTATGGATAGAAAGAAAATGAATTCTAGGCATAGTCTGTCATACACCTTAGATTTTGGGAAAGCAGATTTCAAAGGGCTCATAGAAAAAGCACTCTGCAAAGAATGACCTTTATACTGAAAATTCAGAACCACCATAACTGATAGGGAGTTGATACCCAAGATAAGGAGAGAGCAAAAGGGCCCCTCGCAGAATCCATGTCACATGACACAAATGTGCTATATCTTTGGGTCTTGAAAGAATTAGCAGTTATAACTGAACTACTGTCAGTGAGGTATATCTGAAAGATCACAGAGAAAAGACAAATGTCTTGATTTTTAAAGAACTGAAGAGAACAGAGTCTGCATATTATGAGCCATCGAGTTTGACTTCGATTGCCGAGAAAATGCTAGAACGAATCATTTAAAGAGATGGTTGGCAAAAAGGGAAGCAGTGAGTACAGAATCAGCATGGCTTTTTCAAAAACAGTTCATACCCAGTAACAAAATATGCTACGTAGTCTTTTCCTGACAGAGACAGACAAAGGCTACAGACATATTTTTTGAACACAGCAAAAGTGGGAATTTTTTTTTTGCCTGACTTCACATATTTGTTAGTGGGAATCATGTGTATGAAGGAAAACAGCTACTTATCTACTGACATAAAAGCATGGAACAGAGAAAAGGAGAATGAAGAACACTGCAGTGGGAATCAAGAGGCACAAGTTTAGTTTCTGACCTACTTGTAGCTAGGTAACTTTAACTTGTAATGTCTTAATTGGGAAAGTTCTTTAACCACTGTAAAACCTCAGTTTCTTCATTTATAAAATGAAAAGGTAGGACTACAGTGACCCTAAGGCAGAGGTGGGGAACCCGAAGCTTTAAGGCCACACATGGCCTTCTACGTCCTTAAATGCAGCTCTTTAACTGAATCCAAACCATAAAACCTTCGGTTTTGACAGAACAAATCCTTTTATTAAGGACTATTAAGGACTATTCCATGAATCTAGGTCAATCAAACTCTGGGCAGCTGAGTAACAATACTTAAATATTTTCCCTATATTATACCTACCTGCTGATATCCAGGAACATGGTTTGAGTTGAAATACTCCACTGAAAGATTGCTACTTGAGAAAATAGGAGAATGGAGGAAAGCAATTTTTCTTAACATACTGAACTCCCATTCTGTCAGCAATCTCCACTGGAATGTGTTATAGTTGATGTGTCAAAATACATCATTATTGACAATTTTTATTATTTATGGGAAACAAGATATTTAATTTACAATTAAATGTTATTATGAACTAGGCCTGACTCAGGCCAGTCTCTTGATAGTTTCTGATACTGATAGGTCTGATATTGGCATGACATGAGACACTCATAGCCTTCAAGAGTCAACAAAAGCAGATTTACTTAACCATTATAGAGGAAGGACATTTAACAAGGATATTCCCTAAGGATACTCCTGATTCAGCTGAGCACAAGCTTCCCAATTCAACTTCAGAGAAAGAGCCAGAACTCTAGATACTTTTTTGTCATGCAAATGAATGAGAAACCAAGTCACAAACCTCAGCTAGTCCCCAAAGCTAATTATATCTTAAAGAGTTTCATTATCTCATAAAGAAATGAAGTAGCCTAACCAGCATGGACCTTCAGAAAAGCTAGTTCAGCTTAATAGGCAGTGCCTTAAGGAAAAATCGCTCCTATCACAAATGTTTTGAAATATGATACAGATGTTACCTGAATATTCTTTGGCAAGATTTCACCTTCTATTCCAGGAATATGAGGTACTGTATGAGGTTTTGGCTCAAGCCAGAAAGAAACCAGCCAACGAATGACAATAACACGAGCCTTGAGGAAAGACTCCTTTGTGCAATAGATTGTTTCATTGGTTTCAACATCCTTCTTTATCATTATATAATGCGGCTTTGGTCTCATCTGTGGGATATCTATTCAAAAGAAAGAAGAAAAGATTAAACTAAAGTATGAAAGAACCTGAGTATAAATATGCCTAAACATTCTTGTGTCTGTGACAGTATAATTTTAGAACTACTTCACTGGGCTTAGTAAATAATTTCTGTAGAAATAATTTCTAGGTAGATATCAGCATGAAACCCCACAAGAGGCACAAGACAACTCTTCAGTACATATATAGAAATACATCCATTTGCAGTCTGATTACTATTATAAGTGTAAAGAATTCTTAGGGCAATGTTAAAGCCAAGTGTCAACTTAAGCCAAAAAAGGGCTAACAGTAACACAAATGACAAGTGCACCTAGACTTGTACTAAATGAACAAAATTTAAAGAACAGTGAGACATATTTGTGAGTTATCTTATCAAAAATGTAATCCCTACTCCTTGCTTATCCAACTTGCCTAAAGTAAAGCTACTAGTTCTAATGCTTTTAAACAATTCTAAATGGCTTACCAAACTCGGGGACTGGAAGTTAGCAAGACAAACATAGGATTATATCACATACGATGGACACTTTTAACAAGTGTTTATGTAACAGTCCATTAGACACAGTCAAATGCAAAACTGCAGATCCAATTTAGTTCACATCTTTGGGAATTAAAAATTTTTTTGTAATAATCTTTATATTTTAACATGGATCAGGCTAAAACTTTTGAATAAAATTTTATTAAAATCACAAATAAATCAAGAGGGTTCAGTCTCCTTATCTGTAAACGAAGTGTACTAGATGACTTTTGGTCACTTTCTCTAAAGCTGTGATCCTATGATCTTATTTTCAAACTTAATGAGCTCTTATACACTTAAAAACTCTCCTTCATGACAATTCATCACTGAGGAAGTCAAGATAAGTTAAATCAAGCTATTTAAAATGTCCATTACAAATCTAAGCATCATCTCTATCAATTTCTTTACATAAACATTTGTATTTCCATGAGGTTTCTGAAAGTAATATAAGGATATTTTTCCCTTGTGAGATTTTGTGTTCTTAGTTAAATTTTAGAATACTCTAAATAAAGTATGCATACCAAGTGCAGGGTGATATAAGGTGTTCTCCTTGCAGATGTTTGGGAAAATATAAGGCAAGTAGTATTTTTTAAAGTGTGAAAACAAGAATGAAAATCCCTTCTCCTGATTTTCTTTGTTCTTCCATTCCAAACTCTTTACCTTTAAAAAAAAAAAGTATCTAAATGAAATTTCAATACATGTATACCAATATGATAGAACCTAATGGTCTAAATCACTTCTCCTGAAAACTAGTTTAAAGTTTGATTGGGAAAAAAAAATTCTAAGAAAAATGGACATCTAAGTGTAAATTTTAAAACTGTTTCTAACATGGCTATCAAATATAGAACTGCAAATGTTAATTTTCATCATTTCTTCATGTATAAGAAAAAATTGGCCACAGTTCTGATATCTGGGAGATCATTTCAAAAATAAAGATAATGATGATGCAAATCTTTTGAGCTGAAATTTATCTTCGTATTTTCTACAGTAAGAGAACATATACAAATCAAAAGAAAAATTTAAAAATGTTTAGTGAACATCAAACATTTACTACTTAAGCAACACTGAGAGAAATTATTTTTTTCTATTGTATTAATAACCCATTATTAATTAGGACCCAGACTTTTTATTTTTTCATTCAGGCATGAGCCCCTGTAGGTCAGGGCAGCTAGTTTCAGAAAGACAAAGTGGTAGATGAGATTGCCCAAATCATCTGGGAACATGCTCCTCCATCTTGGGCTGGGTGGGAACCCACCCAACTAGAAGACCTTCCTTCTGTTTAAAAGTGTAAACAGAATCTAACTTAGGTAAATTTCAGCCCCCAAGTTCTGGTAAACTCCTCTGGAATTTAGGGTAACATAGCTCATGAAGGAGAAAACCAATAACCAGAATGGTCTGGGTGGAGATGGAAACTTTGTCCAGATTACCAGAGACCACGGAACTTCAAGATTAATCCACAGTCTCAGCAGGAAGAGATAAAGACTTTTAGACCACCTCCTCATTTTAAATGTCCACCAATCAGGGTTGATTCCTCTTCTCTGGGACATTACCTCTCAAAAAAAATATTTAAAGCATTCAGTATCTCTATTAGGTATCTCTGGTTACAGAAATAAACCACAGACCATCAATTTATTGGTTATTAACTAACCTAATTTCAAATTAGGCTCTCAGGCTTTTCATTGTCTTACCACTTTTAGCAGAAAAAACAACATTTGAATAAATTTAAATTGTTGAAGTATTCATAAAATTCCTTAAGACAAAGGGTATAGCTCATCTTTCTACCAATCTCTAGTGCTACTATATACTTTATAGTATCATAGACTAAGGACGGGTTTGTAGGCAGCAGGGAAGCAATTAGTAGGTAAAAGGACTGAAGATAAGAGAGCCTAGGGATGATTGTGGTGACAGTCTGTGAGATGATATCAAGGATACATGTAGAAGGAGATGTCCTGGCAAGGAGAAGAGCTACTTCTCTTGGTGAAAAAGTAGGGTTGAAGTAGACTATACCATTAAGTGCATATTTTTATTATTTACTTTCAAAGACTCAAATCTCTGACCAAAGCAGTGACTTCAAAAGACTGTTAAAGAAATATACTTCTTTAGATAAAGAGTTGATAGATTAGAGATGTAAAACAAGGCACATGTTTTCAAACAAGGTGTCCTTTTGTCTAATCATACACATGTGCTGTAAAAGAGGATTTTTTTTTGACTAGGCAATGGGGTTAAGTGACTTTCCCAGGGTCAGACAGCTAGTTAAGTGTTATGTGTCTAAGGGCAGATTTGAACTCAGGTCCTCCTGAATCCAGGACTGGTGCTCTATCCACTGTGCCACCTAGCTGCCCCAAAAGAGGACTTTTAACAGGAATAGTGGGAGGTGGATTAGTGAATGGGTAGTGATAAATATGAAAAAATATCAGAACATTAATAAAATATTTTTTAATGCACAGAAGAAAACAAAAGTATAGAAAGGGACACAAAATCACTTTGTTGCTATACTGTTAAATTTAATACATATATATTTAAATAAGTTTCTTACAGAAATTTCATTCTTAATACATTTGTGGTTTTGATTAATGATTAAGTTCATGATAAAAAATGTAATTTAGAAACTGATAATTTCATTGTATATGATATCTTTATGTGTAATACAGGTTCCTTTTCTTAACCATAGATTTTACTGATCTATTCTCTAGGCTCACGACTGTCACTATACTTTTTGAATTCAAGTAAGTCACAATAGATTCTACTCCAAAGCCTCATTTTAAGACTATATAATACCTTAAAAACCAAATTGCTGGGTTTTGCTTTTTTAATCTATTCTGCCACTACCCTTGTAGTAAAGTTCATCCAATTCACATTTACTGTTATAATCGTTAGCTCTGTTTTTCCCTCAATTATATCCCATTGTAATAGTTCCTCTCCTTACCTTCTCCTTCCATTTAATTTAAGAAGAAAAAGAAAAGGGGGGCAGGGAAAAAGGAAGTGAAGTTATAGAGTTTGTTAATCCCAGTCCTCTTCCCTCACCCTCTTTACCTAGCCCAGATCTACCTGCATATCATCAGGCCTTTACTGGGCCCTCTCTCTTTTATAAAACTCAGCCCTCCTTAACTGAATTTTGTTTTGCTTATAACTGTTCTCTCCCCAAATCTGCCCTCCCCATTAATACTCTCTTCACTTTCTCTGTCTTAGCTAAGTCTTACACTGTATTTCTATACTATATTCTTTTGTTCTTCTTCCTTCCTTTACATGGTTCAAGTGAAGATCATAAAAACCCCATTTCCCTTTCCATCACTTTCACGAATGATCTTGTGGCACTCTAATATTAAAAATAGTAAATTGTTCCTTCCTCCCTTTCATTCCTAGGACACCTCCTTTACCCTCCTCCCCTTTTCACTTTCTTCTTTTTTAAAAACCATAACAGCTCACTTCTCAATACATTATACTCTGGCTTCTGCCCCATCTACTCTACTGAAACTGCTCTTTCTACACTTACCATTGCTCTTTTTTTTTTCTTTCCTATTATTATGAACTTAAAAAACTTCAACAATTTATGAACATTTCTCCACATAAAAACAGAAGAAAAGAGAAAAAAGTAAAATAGTACTGCATATAAAACTGCAAGTATCTGATACCTATAGTTTTTTTTCTTTAAAGTATATCAACAAAGACAACACCTCAGTTCCAAATCTGTCATGTCTCTCTTTGAACTTCCTGCTTTTTTCCTTTGTTCTTCTATGTATTTTTTATAGTATCATTAACATTCTTTTCTTTTTTTAAACATCATTATCACTAGTCTACATTTTCCTCTTCCTGCTCTCCCCACCTCCCCACTCAAAAAAACCCCTACCCTTGTAACAAATAAGCATAACCAAGTGAAACAAACAAACATATCTGCCAAGTCTTAAAATATATGCTTCATACTTATCTATCATATCTCTATCAAGAAGCAGGAATTAGACTTCATCATTGGTTTCTTACAGTGATGGGCTGCTCACTGCACTGTTATTCTAAGTTGCTTTCCTTTGCAATGTTAGTCACTGCATGAACTGTTCTGGTTTTGCTCATTTCACTCTGCATCAGTTCACGTAAGTCCTCCCAGGTCTCTCTGAATCTGTCCTTTTCATCATTACATTCATAGTAATGATATTCTAGTAGATTTATATCACTTCTCACCTGGACTACTGCAATAGCTTCTGAATTGGTTTCCTTACTTAGTCTCTCACCTCTTCAAGTCATTCTCCATACGCCAGCCAAATATTCTTTCTAACATCCAATTCTGATCATATTACTCCCTTAACTCAAAAACCCTCAGTGGTGACCTACTCTCTCTAGCATAAAATATAAATTCCTCAGCCTGTTATTTAAAATTCCCTACAGCCTGGTTCCAAGATACCTTTCCAGTTTTATTTCGGATTACTCCCACTAAAATGAGACTACTGATTTTTTCCTCGCACTTGACATTTCATCTCCTACCTATATTCATTTATATAAATTATACATCTCTCTCTCTCTCTCTCTCTCTCTCTCTCTCTCTCTCTCTCTCTCCATCTCCAGCTTTTAGGAATCTTTATTCTTCAAGGCTTGGCTCAAGTGCCACCTCCTCCATGAAGCTTTCTTTGCATGCGCTCTCTCTCTCTCTCTCTCTCTCTCTCTCTCTCTCTCTCTCCCCCACTCTGGCTCCTAATTGTTATGCTCCACAATTGTCACTCCACAGATTATCTTGTAAAAATATTTTAAGAAAAAAATGTACCACACAGGACAGTAAAAGGGAGAATAAAGGTTTAAAAAGATAAAATGTACCTGAATAACCATATATTTCAAAAGTGCTTCTAGAAAATAGCTTGTGAGGTCTTCTTGTCCTTTATCTCCTGATTGTGGAGGGACAAGAGGAGTGATTTCTTCTATAGTCACTTGGGCTATACAAAAATAAAAGAAGAGCTTAGTAGTCATCAAATAATTTTTTATAACTGAAGATAATAAGAAAAAAAATCTTATTTCCAAAACAAGTGTTCAATGAACAGAAGTTTCCAAATCATTTGCTACCCCAAAATTACAGCATGACTCAACTCTAAATAACTTAATGTAAAGACAGTAAGTCTACTTAAGATCTCACTGATTTTAAACATTTTTCCAAGACAGAAAATCCAAATACTAAATATTAGACTGGTTTTGGATGTTTTCCTTCATATTCACTAAGCAATATGGTATAATAGAAAGAAACTGGACTTGTATTTAGGAGACCTGAGTTCAGGTTTCAGCTGTGATTTTTACTAGTAGCAGAATATTTAATAAATCATTTCATGTCTACTATGATTCTGAGTTTCCTGATATGTAAAATGTGGAATAACAATACTTTCACAATCTAACTCACAGATTTATGGTAAGGAAGCAGTGTGTAATTATATATAAGTATATATATGAGTATGTATGTGTGTGTGTATGTGTGTATATATATATATATATATATATATATGCATATATATATATATATATATATGCTATAATTATTGTTATCTTGAAGATATTCTGGTGAATGGTTCTCAAACTTTTTGATTCTCAGGAACCCTTTACATTCTAAAAAGTTACTGAGGACCCCACAAAAAGCTTTTGTTTATGTTGGCTATATCTATGTTTACCACATTAGAAATTAAAATGTCTTAATATTATTATGAAAACAGTTTAAACCTCGAGGACCCCCTGAAAAGGGCTCTGGGACCCACCTAGGGTACCTGGACCATACTTGGAGAACTACTACGCTAGGTAAATACGGCGCTATACAAAATCCTAGGGATTCTCTGCTTCACAGACTACATTTGGTCCTAAGTATGTTTATCTAAATAACCCTCCAAAAGAAACCAAGAAATTTTAGTGATTGTGATAGTCTCACTGGATTTGTTACTTCAATAAGGAAAGTTGTACAAAGTTCTCAGAGACCTGTAAGTTTCCACAAAATATAGCATTTACATTTATTATCTATTTCAATTAAGTCCTTAAAACTTAACAACTCCTAAAAGGTCTGAAAGGTTCAAAGATGTGTCAAAGGTTCTTAAGACATAAGAGCCTCAACCAGTGTTTTTTTTTTGCTAATTCTATAAAAAGAAAGATAAATGACTTTTATTGATTCTAAAAGAATTATCAGAAAAAAACTCAAAAAGCCAGAGAATTCAGGCACCATAAAATAGCATTTAAATATTATATGTATAGTTAAGGGGGCTGCATAAACAATATAGGCAAGATATAGACTTGTGTATCTGTATACATATATAGTATAGGGAAGACAGGGAAAATAGCTTTCTTCGGCATACTGCATTTTATGTATTCAGCAAATCAATATTTAATACCACTTTTGTTATTTTGACTGTGGTTAATAAAAGCAAATTATAAATTTGTTTCCTCCCATTCATATGAACATACTCACAGTGTATTTGAAGCGATAAAATATTCCCCAAGCAGCCTATTTTGAATTTTAGGAAGAAAATGCATTTCACACTACAAATCACATAGTCAGGGTAACTACTTTTTGTTTCTAACATCATCATTTACTTTGTGTGTTTTGTATAAGAAATTAATTAAACTTGATTTTAGTGGAACTTTATTTATCTTGTGTGACTTTGTAAGGGAAAAGGTAGCCTTTTATTTCATTCTGGGCAAAAAAAAAATAGTGTAGCATCCTCTGGAAAAAAGAGACTGTGTGTGTGTGTGTGCGCGCGTACAAAAATTGGTTTAAAATAGGAGGGGAAAACAGCTAAACATCTGATTGTTCTTCACTGATCTATCCAGTCTGTCAACCCTAATTTTTTAAAAATGTACTTCATTTCACTGGAGAATTTCTGTCTAGGAAACTTTTTGTGAATTTGAAATAATCAAGAGAGATTCTTAAAAGTAAGATGTGTATCATTCTTTTAATTGTCCAATTTCTTTCCCTTCTCTCCCTAGTCTAGGATTCAGGATCCCAGATTTAGAGCTACAAGGGACCTTGGCAGTCACCTTATCTAAATTCCTAGGACATCAAATAGATCAGAAAACTGAAGCCCAGAGAGATAAGTGATTTGTCCAAAGGTCACACAGGTGACAAAGCAAAAACATCAATCCAGGTACATTTGTTTCTAAGTTCAGTGCTCTTTCCACAACATCACAATTTGGGTATAAGCCAGTTAGAGTCAGACATGGCAATCTGAAGAAAAATGCCCATTTCTTTTCTTTTTGGTTAGGCAATGGGGTTAAGTGACTTGCCCAGGTCACCCAGCTAGTAAGTATTATGTGTCTAAGGCCGCATTTGAACTTAGGTCCTCCTGAATCCAGGGCTGGTGCTCTATCCACTACGCTACCTAGCTGCCCCCAAATGCCCATTTCTTAGAGGAAAAAAAGTGATCACCAAACAAAACTCTGAGAGTTGAAAAAAAAATTTATAAAACCAGAATCCTGAAAGACCAATGAGAGTTAAAAGTTTTGCCAATTCAACAAGGGGTAATGATAAGTGACTAATAAAAGACAATGAAACAGCATTTTGAATCAGCATCAACTTCAGTTAAATGCTGAAAAGGAAAGAGTCTACTCATGAGAAAAAATAACAAAATCTGGATTAAATCAATTTTTTAAAAATTCAATCATACTTACTCAAGATGAGACTATTACAAATGCTGACATGTTCTATTTCCCATTACAATCAAAGTTAGGAAATTGAAATCAGCACCTCTGTTGAATACAGCTACTGTTTAATAAAGGGGTTATATTTTCCTTATCAAATATGTCCAACAGAGATTTAAAATGCTCTAACAAGATAGCCAGAGAATTAAAATTTATCACCATGTAAGTAGTCTAACCAATTTCTAAAGAGCTATATACGGCATTTACCCAAACACAAAGAACTCATTATTATTTACATGTCACCTAACTAGACTGTACTTAAGGACCACAAATTTCAATCTTTTGAAACACAAGTTATATGTTAAACATCTCAGTGTCTTTGTGAGGCACAGAAAGAGAAGAAGATAATTTCAGGCAATCTGGTAGAGCAGTTATTGCGATCCTTATGAAGAAAGCAGTTACATATAAATGTTAATAATTACAGAAAAATATAGTATTTTAATTAAAAACATATTTTTGTTCCCTCTCTTAAGAATTTTATACCACCAATATATTTCAATTTGTTAAACACACACATATGAAAAACTCTAAACATAAACCATATAAAAAGGAAGGGAAGTAACTCATATGATTTTAAAAAAAAAGACCCAGAGTTTTCTCTAAATTGAAAGGAAGAAGGTATTAAAAGGAAATAATGTAGAGATAGAAATTTAAAGTATGAAGAATAACAACTAAACAACCAAAGCAATCAGAAATAAAAACAAAGCATTTATGAAAGTATAATGAAAGTAAAATAGACAATACCTGATTTATCAAAAGAAGAATAATAATAAATTTACATTTCCTTTTCATTTATACATGTCCTCCATAAAACAAACACTACTTTAAAAATATATCTGTACACATCCAAATGAACAAAAAGATAAGTATAAAAAAGGAAAATCACAGAAGTGTTAAATCGGATTTGGAATGCTTACTAAATTTTAAAACACAACACAAAAGAATATGCTGTTAATATCCTGTAGTCTTACTTTCTTGAAGGTTAAGTGGGGGATTAATGAGATTATCTAAAGTCCGAGGTCCATATTCAGACAGTGGTGAGGCAAATCCAGGAACTAAGCAAGAAAATATCCAGAGCTGTTCTTTACTACAGTTATTCTGAAGAGCTTGTAACCATAGCAAGAAGAGACGGACACCTTCACGCCTGATCTGAAAATACAAAACAATTAAATACAACATAGAATTTTTACCCAAACAGAAATAGAAGGATATGGAAGATCTTTTTTTCTTTTGAGACCAAAGTTCTCTAAGAAATAAAAAAATGAATATTTGCCAAAAATCATAACTGTTACCATACTAAATCCAGAAGTATATATTCCATTTTATCAAAACCTGAGTCTATGGAACTGATAAAGCAAGAGACTTAATTTATTTCTATTGCCCCAAGATAAAAACAATGAAAATCCTTTCAAGTAATGAGTTAATTCCATAGTAACCAATTCCAGGGAAGGTTCTAGGTTCTTACCACTATAACCAGAGCTATGACAGCAAAAAGCCATATCTTTCTTTTCTCTCTCCCTCTCACCATGACTGAGCCAGGGAGCAAGAATGTCAAGAAAAACACTGGTTTCTTGCCAAAGATAGAAAAGACAAAACCAGATGAAAAGGAAATTTTCTCTAGTAACCAGAACATTCTCACTACTGCTTTTTTGCACATAGTAGATACTCAATATATGCTGAACTCAATCAGATTCTTTCCTACCTAGGCACTGTAACTCAAATATTGCCACAGCTTCATTTGCTATCAGAAATAGTATTATAATTAGAAAATATGCTTTAGTTGGAGAAGGGAAAAACTAGGTTCAAATCCTGACTCAGATACTTACTAGGTGAAGTTGTCGCACCTCTCTAAGCCTCAGTTTATTTATTCATCCATAACGTCTGAATAATATTTATAGTACCTCCTTCACAGAGTTGTTGTATCAAGTAAAAGTATGTTTGGTAATCTTTGCAAGACTTAAACAGCTAAATAAATGTCAGTTACTATTATTATTGTTGTTATTATTACCACCTCTACCATGGCGTAGTTGATAACAAAAAGGTGATGAAGGAGGTCCTATATTTCCATTGCAGTTAACTCTAGGTCAGTGCAACTGGAAGTATAACCACAAGGTTATACTTCTCACCTTCTCCACAACAAGTGGATAGCTTCCATAAACAAAGCACAAAAACGAAGTGGCAAATCAGAAAAGTGAAAACTAGTACAGTGCTGTTACTGCCATTTATATTTCAGAGGGGCTGTAGTGAGAGCAGAAAAGCAACAATTTCATTGCTTTTGTTGTTATTTTCCCTTTAGACAAGGTCCAGAATGGAGACTTCTATATTTAATAGGGCACTGTAGCTCCAGATTATAAAATGCATTTAAGGGACTTGGCATCTTAGGGAAAAAAAAAGTGGCAAACAAACATTGAAGAAAATACTGCTGCATTAAGTAGGAGACACATGTTTGTTTCACATTTTCTCACACCTGAATTAAGTATGATTCCAGGTATATCCTAAAAAGCCAGAAGAGTATTTTGCACAGAAAAACACAAATGTACATCTCTTCTGTCACAATGTAAATCTGAAAAAGTTTTGAAAAGCCATTCTACTAAAAGAAATATATTTTATATACCTTTAAGGAGTTTCCTGTGTGAAGGAGTTTCTTTAAAATCAATCCTGTAAAGAGAACATTCATTTAAATACTTATTTTTTTCATGTGATTTGACAGCCACCCTAAAATTCCTCATCCACTTGCCCTACTGCCTTTACTTATTGCTATTTCTATCCTACAAAACTTCAACTTAGGGTAACTCCCATCATTCAATATTTCCACTCCTATTCCTGTGATTTCAACCACTATACACCTATGCTAAGAAAAGCAATATGTTGTAGTAAACAACTGAACTCGTAGGCAGGAAAATCCAGGCTCAAGCTTCCCCTCTGACTCTCACTGGCTGCGTGACACTGGATCAGTCACTTAACCTCCCAATGCAGAAAACTTGTAGTTCTTAAACTTTTAGGTCTTAGGACCACCATTACACTCTTGGAAATGACTGAGGCCCCACAAAGAACTTTTATTTACATGGGTAATATTTACAGATTTTTTTTTTACCATATTAGACATTAAAATGTCTTAGTTTTATTATGAAAATAGTTTTGACCTTGAAGACCCCCAAAAGGGTCTTGGGAATCCAAAGTCCCTGGACCAGACTTTGAGAACCACTGCACTAGGCAATTTCTTAAGACTGTAAGTTACAGAGAAGGTCCTGACTTGAACTGGTAGAAGGAACTTCTTTTCACCTAAGAAGTCCCTAAACCTATAAAAAGAAAACAGATCTGGTCATTATCTCTTCACTTGTGAAGAAATATAACGTCTGCTAGGCCCTTACTGTACTTTTTCTCCTCTCTTTAAATCTCCCACCACAATTCCTCCACTAAATTTTTATTTCACTGAGTTCAAGGACATCCTACATTAATATCCTTTAATATTCTCTTCTGTGACTTAACACCACAATGGTGTCTGAACCCATAATTAGTACAGAAAGAGTGCCGCACTTGGAATCCAAAAGACCTGGATTCAAATATTCTCTAATGCTAGCTAACTTAATTGTGTGATTCTAGAAAAGTCATTTAACCTTCTCAAAGCCTCAGTTTGCTCATCTATAAAATGGTGACACAAATTGTAGTGCCTGATTCACAAGGCTATCATGAAGCTTAAACGAAAAAAAGTTAAAATGCTTTGAAAACGGCAGTTATTAACTTTCTCCTAAGAGAAAAAAAAACTGTTTATCAAGAAAAAAATTCTTCTATTTATGCACCTGAACCATCCCTCCCACCTCCTACAAGACAATGTATTTCAACTATCTCTTCTCACACATCTACAACAAGTCTAAAACATAACTCATATTTTGCTGCGAATCCACTTGTCCTGAAAACTTCTCTATTTCTTTTAAGAACATTAAGGATTATCATTCTAGGAACCCAGATTTGCAATCTCAGAGTCATCCTTGACTCTTACTTCCTTTCATGTCACCCCAAGTTTTGCTCATTCCAATTTACATCTCTTATATCCATCCTCCGTCTCACAATGCCTCTTACCTAGACTACTGCAACAGCCTTCAATTTGTTCTTCATAATTACAGCCTCTCCCCTCTCCAATCTGCTAAACAGATGTTCCTAAAACAATGATCTGACCATGTCACTCTACTACTCAACTATCTTCAGTGGCTCCCTACTGCCACAAGTATATAATACAAACTCCTCAGACTGACTCCACAAGCTCATTCACTCCTTTTTAGTAACATTTCACATCACTCTCCTTGACACTCACCATACCACTCACTTTGAACACAGCATGCCATTTTGCCTCTGTATCTTTGAATAAGCTCCTCCCCAGCACTCTCTATAAGAGTCCTTAGCTTCCTTCAAAGCACAGTTCAGGTGCTGCCTCCAACATGAGGCCTTTCCTAATTACCTCGCCAATTACTGCTCTCTGCCTCTTTACATTACACTATACATTTTGCACAAATGTGTACATACTGTATCTTCCCAATAACAAGTAAACTTTTCAGAGAAGAGGATACTGTTTTTGTCTTTCTAGGCTAAGCAAAGCATCATGAACATAAAATTAATGTTTGTTGAATTTGACGTAATCACTCCCTTTTCTGATGGCTTCCCTTCTACCTGCCCATATGTTCATGTCTTCCTAGTGCTAAAAAAAAATTTTCCTTAGACCCTTCTACACCCTTAAGCTAACATTCCATCTCTTTCCTCTCTTTCACCATCAAACTTATTTTTTAAAAATGGTTCTACTGCCTCACTACCCATTCACTTGTCAAACCCTTGTATTACCTGGCTTCTGCTGCCATGATTCCATTCATATTTCTCTCTCAAAGGTTATCACTTTCTAAGTGCAAAATCTAACGGCCTTTCCTCAAAACTACATTCTCCTTGACCTATCTGCAGGATGTCCCCTCTTTCTTGATACTTTCTCTTCCCTTGGCTTCCTTGATATCAAAGTCTCCTGTTCTCCTTTCTCTAATAACTCATTCTATATTTCCTTTATAGGTCCTTTTCCTCAATGCTAATGTTTCCCAAAGTTGTAGCGTTGATTCTCTTTTATTTTTTCTCTTCAGTTTCTTTTTCGAAATTCTGAGTCTGAGTGAGCATGAATTTGTTACACTGACCTCAACTATCATCTCTAGAAACATAAGCACCAAGTTTCCATTTCCTCATCTTTAGGTTCTAAACCAATCAATCAACAAACTTACTTCATAATATGATATAATGCTAAATGCTGGAGATAAAAAAAAAGCAAAAACAGTCCCTGCCCTCAAGACTCTTATATTAGGGAAGACAATAGGTAAATAAATAGATATATACACAAAGTAGATGTAAAGATAGTCTTAGAGGAGAAGGAACTAGTAGATGAGAACAGGAAAGCCTTCCCGCAGAAGATGGCATTAAGCTGGGTCTTGAAGGAAGCTAAGGATCCTAAGCGGTAACGGTTAGAAAGGAAAGCATTTTAGGCATAGGGACTGGCCAGTGCAAAGGCATAGAGAAGGAGATGGAATATTGCACATGAGGAATAGCAAATGCACCAGTATAGCTAGCCTTATAAACTTACATTTCTAACTAGCTGCTAAATAACTCTACCACATGTCTCAAAACAAAATAAAATACTTTGCAAAGGCTGTCCTCCATGTGGAATTCAACTTCCCTGCTTCAAAGCTCAAGTCAAGTTTAACTCAAGGTGGCTTTACCTATAAGCCCCAAGTGCTGGCATCTCCCCTCCCCCTAAAAAATTACCTTGTATTTACTCCGCATATTTTTACATTGTACATGTTGTTTTCCCCAAAAGAACGTAAACCCCTTGAGGGCAGGAACTTCTTTTAAAAAAAAAAACCTGTAACCCCAGAGGCTAGCATAGTACCTCTCACACAGTAGGTATTTAATAAATGTTTACTGACCAAATGGGATCATGAGGCCATAGATGTAATATATACCTCCCAAAAGGTTCAAACTGTAATCTAGCCATACCTCATCCTATGCAACCCAAGTTCATATGGTCCAATAAATTTTTCATGGGGAGGTCCACTCATCATACTGAAGGCTTTTTACAATTATGTGGTTACTAGGATAGCACTCAACTTGTCCGTCTGTTATCCTATCTCCCCAACATAACTGATGTACTTCCTTTTACAAGCATACATTTTAAGCCATTCCTTGCACATATCATTCGGGTAATATGCTGTAGACTATGTCATTCCATTGCCCTTTGGTCTCCTTTGAATTTTGATTCTTTGAAGACTGCAAAATTCCATATAACTTCCTAAAAGTTTTGTTTTGGAAAACTTGGGATTAAAGTGCTATATGATTTCCCACATGCAATCCAGTCAACTCTTGCTCTTCTATTCCATTTTGGACCCAACTGATAGTCCTCTGCAGTATTTGAAATTTATATAATTACAGACCATCAACATCCACTGAGTGGATATAAAAGTATCCACTCAACTACACAGAACAACCTGGACAATAAAAATTCTTCATCACTTGGTTTTTCCTGTGTAGATTCTTAGGCTATTTGTGGGGTGGGGGGGGGCCCGCATACAATTCAGAGATCTCATTTGGAAGGCTCTGCACTATTCCAGGGCTTGATGTAGTCAGCTGCACAATGTCATCTACAAACAAGAGCATCTGGAGGCCCTCACAATATACTAGGAATCCTTCAACTTGGACTCTCTTCTTCATAATAGTGGCAGACAACTTCAGTGAGCATATACTTTCCCAGCTCAATTCCTTGCTTGAAATTCATTATCAAAGGATTTTTAACAAATTCATCTTTTGAAAACCCTACAAACTCTACTGTTTACTGAGTAAAACACCACTTAACTTGGTATTAAAAGCCTGACACACAATCTGGTACCATCCTAAATTTCTAGTCCTGTCTCTTACTACCTTCCAACCACAATCCAAGCAAACTATGCTACTTCCCACTCCCCATTCAAGCACTAAATTTTCCTTCCTTTGCTTACATGTTTCTCTATGTCTATGTCTCTTTAGTTTTCTGTATCTGATGAAAAACTTCCCAATTTTCAAGGTCCAGATCAAATGCCATTTTCTTTAAGAAGGACAACATGGTGCAGTAAATAAGCACTAGATTTTATAGGAGGCAGGGATTTGTAGACTTTATGTGAAAAGAGAGGGTATATGGTTTTAGCTATTTATCTGCAGATGAAGGAGGCCCATCTATGACAACGGCCTAGAGGCCTAAAAAGGCTCCACCCAAAGGCAGCCCTAAATAAAAGGGACTGACCTAATTTGCTCATTGAAGCTTCTATCCCGATTGAGCCAGTAATGCTGGAAGGATCCTATAAAAGCAGTCATTTTGCAGAGTTTAGGGGGAGTTTCTTTTTGCTGTTGGTAACATGAGCTCCCACTTTAATCTAATACATTTAATAAAAGTTTTGGGGTTTTTTTTAGTTATTGTAGTTATCATAGTCCTGGTGTTCCCACAATTCAATCCTGCCTCTGATTCAAATCCAGGCTCCTGGCTACATCAACTTGGTTACTCCACCTTTCTGAGTCAAATTTTCCCAACCAGTAAATTAGGACTAATAATCCTTGAACTATTGTGAGGAAAGCACTTTGTAAAATTTAAAGTACTATGTAAATGTCAGCTCTTATTCCCATATCAGAAGTGAAAGATCTTTCCCTCCTTAAATCTCACAAAGCACTTCATTTATACCTTTATTTTACCTGTCTATTTTGGATTAGAAGAAACCCTTAGTGCCCTTAGGCAATCCACTAAGATTTGCAAAACAGGTACTGATCTGCTTTGGTCTAAAGGATTTTCTTACCAGGAGGGCAAATTGCAGGTCAGAAGAAAAAAATAAATTAAAAAATGTGTGTGTGTGTGTGTGTGTGTGTGTGTGTGTGTGTATATAAAAACTATTGTTACTTATCTTCCTACTAAACTACCAGCTCCAAAAGGGCAAGGATCTCCTTTTACACCTACAACTGTGATCTCATAATAGTAAGCATTTCTGTGAACTAAATTATTTAATTCTAAATGTCAGAGTTCTCAGTCAGACTTGATAAAAACCTTTTTAACAAGTCCTTGGCAACCTCCAAGTTAATTTTGGTGATTCTGATATCCTTTTGGCAACAATCTTGGTGCCAGAAGGGAGTGAGAAAGATCACCTTCCATAAAATATGATTTCTTAAGCTAAAAAAAATATATATAGAAAGACCATAACTGTAAATAAAACATCATATATTTTCTGATTATTTGCCCTTGTTTTAGATTTGAAATGGAATGAATGAAAACTTTCCCAATTAATCAACTGAAAAGTTCAGTAAAGAATTTTTTTTACCTTTCCCAAGGTCCTGAAATTAGTTTTCTCTACTTCTTTACAAAAATTACCCCTGATTTAAACTTAAAATATCTATTTTCAATTTATTTTTTAATTTTTTAAATTACATTTTATTTTTTTCAGTCAGCAAAGATTATGCCTTCCTTCTGCCCATTCTCCCCCTCACCCCAAATAGAGAACAAAAGAAAAACAATACCACTATTGCAAATATGTATCATAAAGCAAAACAAATTTCTGTATCAGCCCTGTGCAAAAGTAAACTAAACAAATAACTGACCTTCCTAGTGTATTCCTTTCCCTTTCCCTTTTTTTTCTTTGAGCCCATCAGGGTTAAATGAAAAAACCTTCAAACTCTTCCATTACACCTTCACATTTAACCTGCCCCCCCCTTTTTTTTTTGCAGCAAGCAAAATATCACCCATCTTCTTTATAGCCTGCCAAACAAAATCTGTGAATAAGTTTTAAACAAGCTACCAAGAAACATAAAGTATTAAATAGCCTTTTTTTTTTATCAGCTATTTGAAATCTAAGAGTTGCAATTTATGTCACTTACCAATACTGTGAAACTGCCATCGCTGATGAATCCTTTCTGGAAGAAGTTGTAAAATTTTCTAAAAGTCAATAAAGAGAAAGCAAACTAATAAATGAAATGAAAGAGATATGCTTGAAATCTTGTAAAATGAAAAACAAATTACAAATATTAAGACCTTACTGCTCCTTGAGTGAAAAATATGACACACAAAAAAAAATAAAATAAGCATTCAAAGTTAATCTGCTATTACTTGGTACTTTTTTTTTTTTTAACACTGGTAACTTATACAGTACTAGAAAGGTCCCATAATATAGCAAATAAGTCTAGGAAAGACTTGAGTCAAGACAATATAATTTAGGAAATTAGAAATAATTCTGTCAATTTTTTGAAAGGATAAAATCCTCTTTCTGACCTTCCCATCCCAATCCATTCCTCCTTGAGAATTAAAGAAAACCAAAACATGTTACAGACATTAATAGTCAATCAAAACAAATTTCTACAATGGCCATGTCCAAAAAAAGTTTTTGATCATTCTATGTGCTTCATCTCTCTATCAAGATGTGGTATATTTCATCATTATTCCTCCGCAATACTGGTTAGTAATTAGAGTAATAAGAGTTCCTAAGTCTTTCAAAACTGTTTGCCTTTACCATATTGTCATTTTTTATAAACTGTTCTCTTGGTTCTATTCACTTCACTTGGTATCAGTTCACATGTTTTCCCAGGCTTCTCTGAAACCATCTCCTTTATTTTTTTTCTAAATTAAATATATTTTTTATTTTCCATTATGAATTCTCTCCCACCACCCTCCCCCTTCCCTCAGTCACAGAGAAGAATAGAAAAATAAAACCCATTACAAATATGTATAATTATGGAAAACAAATTCCCACATGAACCATGTGAAAAGGAGAAAAGAGATAAGGGGAAAGGGAGAGGACAAGGCTGAGCACAAAATCTGAGGGTGTTCACCTTTAGAGGAAGCAAGAGGAAGAGGAGGATAATCCTGGCTGGACTAGATGCTGGAACTGAGACCTTACCCTGCTCCTGGCATCTGATCCACACTGCTTCTGCTGAACTTTCTGCCTAAGCCCAAGTACTCTTTCCATGATATGGTTAAGTAAACTTGTTTTTTTGTTAACTATTAAGAGTATTTCATTTTCTTCAATTTTCATACCTGGGCTATCATGTCAGGCTGAACAAGCCTTACACTTAGCAGTAATCAAAGGATCAGAATGAAACAGCATTGGGGCTCACATCATGGCTTAAGTAGGGGAAAGCCACTGCAAATGTAGAGAATGGGATAATCAGATATTAGACACTTTCTGAAAACAGTTCTGCTGAAATGAAAATGTCAGGACAAGAGTTAGGAATTGTCACTGGTGATAAGAAAGCCTCAAACTTATCATATTACTATTTAATGGAACTTGATTTCCTCCAAAAGGAATACCCACTGATGACATGATTGAACCTGCTCCTGCCACAACTTTTGCTACTTGAATGCTATCACTGTCCCAGGCCATTTATTTGCACTGCAGTAAAACCTCAGCATTCCAGTTCCCATATCATAGACTCCCAACATTTTTGGCAATGAGCATAATGATATTCTCCCTGGCATGCAAAAGATCCTGTAACACTATTAAGTCATTCCTGAACATCATTGCTATCCTTGGGATGGGTGAGTTGTCTGAAGAAAATAAGTTAAAGATGCCTCGTGCCTGGAAAATTTAGTGTTCTTGTCACAGCCATTCCAGGTTACTGAAGTATACACAGGACAATATAGGGAAGCTGATACTCCTGAAATAAACTATCAAAGGACTCCAACAGATCTTGACAGGTCAGTATAATTATCTTTCAAAGCAGAACTTCTACATGTCAGGACCTATAAAAGAAGCTATAAGACTGAAGATCACTCATGAAGAGTCACCCTCATCTGCCAAAATGCCCATCCTCCAGCACAAGCTATTCTCAATTATATTGAGAACACTATGCAAGAACTTTCATCAGAAAAGCTATGTACTCTCTAAATATTTAAACTTCCTAATAAAATATAGATCTTAAAAAAGAAAAGCAGTTGCTAATATCTTATAACTGAGTCCTAGTTACTAATGAATACATGATATAAGGGTCATAAATCACTTTTCTTCCAGGGTTGCCTATTAGGAATTGAGGGATGTAAAATGATCCCTCTAATAAGCTGGGTAGGGCATAGGCCTTTATTATTAAATGAAAACCATACTTTCAAGATTGAGCTCTCCTACATCCTTCAGGAGTCAGCACCCTTCACAAACTGATTACCATTCTTTCAAAATCTGAAGCATCCAGTCCCAGCCTTGATATCCAAATTTCTTTGCAAGCCCAATGAACCCCCACCCACAAGATTCAACTGAATAACCAAATAGATGGCCTTATGAGAACAGAAGAGGTTGAGACACGAGCCATCACCAATCTAGATGTAAGGACCATGATGCTATTTTGCAGTGGGCACAGAAGCACATCCCTCTTAGGATAAGGCAGTTCTCCTTATGGCAAATGGAGTGTGAGTGCTCACTTATAAAAGGCAAGTATGATGTGATCTGGAATGGTTCCTAACCTGCTTCCAACTAACAAAACTGATTATACTGGCTCCTTTGTCAGGGCAAGAGGTCTTCCCTTACTGTAACTGACACCTATTCAGAAAATGGCATTGCTCTTCCTGATGGGATACTCCTCTAATACTAATAAGGGAACCCACTTTACTGTCATAAAAGTCCAAGATTTGGCCCACCAACAGTACATCCACAGTTTTCCTGCTCCTATACCCCCTCAGGCAGCTAGAACTATTGAACGATAGAACAGGTTCTTGAAAAAACAGCTTCATCAGAAATTAAAGCAATCTATAGTCATATAAAAAAATGCTCTAAATCGTTATTGAGTAGAGAAATGCAAATCAAAACAACTCTGAGGTATCACATCACACCTATCAAATTAGCCAACATGACAAAACAGGAAAATGATAAATGTTGGAGAAGATGTGGGAAAATTGGAACACTAATACACTGTTGGTGGAGTTGTGAAATGATCCAACCATTTTGGAGAACAATTTGGAACTATGCCTAAAGGGCTACAAAAATGTACATACCCTTCGATCCAGCAATACCACTTCTAGGTCTACATCCCAAAGAGATCAAACAAATGGGAAAAGGACCCACATGTACAAAAATATTCATAGCAGCTCTTTTTGTGGTGGCAAAGAACTGGAAATTGAGAGGATGCCCATCAATTGGGGAATGGCTGAGCAAGTGATGGTATAGGCATGTAATGGAATACTATTGTGCTATAAGAAATGATGAACAGGCTGACTTCAGAAAAACCTGGAAAGACTTATATGGTCTGATGCTGAGTGAAGTGAGCAGAACCAAGAGGACTTTGTACACAATAACAACCACGTTATGCAATGACTAATATTGTTAAACTGAACCCGGCTCAGCGTTACGAGGATCTAAGACATCTCCAGAGGCCTCAGGATAGAAAATGCTGTCCACATCCAAAGAAAGAACTATGGAAGTCAAATCGCTATCACTTATTTTTACCTTCTGTTGAGTTTTGTTTCATATTTCTGATGGTTCCTCTCATTGGTTTTAATTTTTACTTACAACTTCACCAATGTGAAAATATGTTTAATGGGTATGTAAATGTAAAGCCTATATCAGATTGTGCGCTGTCTTGGGGAGGGTGGGGGTGAGGAAGGGAGAGAAAAATTTTGAACTCAAAAGCATATGGAAGTGATTGTTGATAAATCAAAATAAATTAATTTAAAAAAAAAGAAAAACAGCTTCATCATAATGCTTCAGTATATTGTTATTGGGTGTCCCACCTCATAGAAGCCCCCTCTTTGATAAATCAAAGACTCAGTTCCTTGGTTTTAGCCTCTAGGAGGACTTAACCAATAAGAACTTACTCCTTTAACACTGGTTGACCTTCTCAGGCACTCCTTGTTACCTTGAATGGAGTCACACAAGCCTTAAGGTCCTGCCTGTTCAGGGGCTCCTCATATACCCTGGCAAGATGGCTCAGGTTCCCCTCAATTGATAGGGCTGATTTGGACAATTTCTTCCCAGGAAAAAAAGGACTTATGGGGTGAAACTGTTGAAAGGTTATCTTGCTTTCTAATGATATGGAAACGGTGAGAGTGCCTATGGATAACTATGTGTGACTATGAATTTACTTAATAGAAAAGGGATACGCCAGTCTACTTAGCAGCAATCCTGATTCTATGAATTAAAATAAAGAGTCCCAATCTAGCTCCTGTGGAATTAGGGGGCATCCTCTTAGCAGAAGCCTCTAAACAGGGCAAAGATTTGGCATTATTCCCCTTGTGGGACCCTCAGGAAGACAGAAGGGAAAGGAATAAGCATTTATATAAAACCTATTACAGCCAGGCACTGTGCTAAATGCTTTTTACAAATATGTCATTTGGATCCAACCATTTTGGAGAGCAATTTGGAACTATGCCCAAAGGGCAACCAAACTGTGCATACCCTTTGATCCAGCAATACCACTACTAGGTCTGTATACCAAAGAGATGATGAAAAAGGGAAAAGGACCTACATGTGCAAAAATAGTTATAGCAGCACTTTTCATGGTGGCAAAACACTGGAAACTGAGGGGATGCCCATCAATTGGGGAATGGCTAAACAAGCTGTGTTATATGACTATAATGGAATACTATTGTACAATAAGAAATGATGAGCAGGCAGACTTCAGAAAAATCTGGAAAGACTTATGTGGACTGATGCTGAATAAAGGGAGCAGAACCAAGAGAACGCTGTACACAGTAACAGTCACACTGTGCGATGACTAACTTTGATAGACTTAACCCTTCTCAGCAATGCAAGGATCTAAGACATCTCCAAAAGTCTCATGATGGAAAATGCTGCCCACATCCAGAAAAAGAACTACAGAGTTAGAATGCAGATTGAAGCATGCTATTTGCTCTTTTTTCTCTTCTGTTTTGTTTTGTTTCCTCTTTCTTGTGGTTCCTCCCATTGGTTCTAATTCTTCCTTACAACATGACTAGTGTGAAAATATGTTTAATAGGAA